CAGACGGAGAATTGATGCCTTTGAGCTGTGGTGCTGGAGAAGAGTATTGAGAGTACCACGGACTGCTAGGAAAACAAACAGATTCATCCCGGAAAGGGTTAAACCGGGTGGCTCTTTGGAGGCAAGGATTCTGAGGCTCCATCTAACACACTTTGGACATGCTGTAAGAAGAGACCGGTCTTTGGAGAAGGACATCATGCTGGGGAGGGTGGAGGGACAGCGCAGGAGGGGAAGGCCCTCTATGAGGTGGATTGATTCGGTGACTGGGGTTATCGGGATGGGAATGTCAGAGTGTGATTGGCACAAGACAGAGCAGAGTTTAGGGCTGTTATGCATAGGGTTGCTACGAGTAGCAAGCGACTCTACGGCACATAACAACAACAACATCATGAGGTGGACTGATTCAGTGACTGGGGTAATCAGGATGGGTGTGTCAGAGGCAGTGCGATTGGCAAAGGATAGAGCAGGGTTTAGGGCTGTTGTACATAGGTTTGCTATGAGTCGCAAACAACTTGACGGCACATAACAACAACAGAATATTACAACACAGTGTCTGAAAATCTGAGGATACAGACAGCTAAGAAACAGCTCTATAAATGACAAGGGTCCACTCTCCTTTTTAATCTTAAAAGTTGTTTAAAGGATCCAGTATAATAACATACACCAGTATTAACTGATGCTTTCTTACGATGCGGGGAGAAAAGGGAGCTCTGGTGGCTTAGCAGTAAGGAGATATGCTGCCAACTAAAGGTGCACAGTTCAAACCCACTACCTGCTCCAGCATAGAAAGATGGCAATGTCCTCCCATGCAATTTGTTGCTGCTGTCAGATGCTGTGGGAATCGAGTATGACTCACAGCAAACAGATGAACAAAACATCTGTACCCAGCCCTATCCTAAGCTATTCTCATCATCTCTGATATACTTGAGCCATCGTTATTGTGTCACTCCATCTCATTTAGGGTCTTCCTCTCTCTTTCAATGAACTTCTGCCTTTCCAAGCACTTAGCCACTCCTAATAACATGTTCAAAGTATGTGAGACCAAGCTTTGCTATTCTCACTTCTAAGGAGCACCTTACTTGCACCTTCTCCAAGAAATACTTATTTGGTTTTTGGCAGTCCATGGGATATTCAGTACTCTGTTTCAACACCACAGCTCAGCAGCATCAATTCTTCATCTATAATCTTTATTTACTGTCCAGCTCTCAGATGCACAGCAAGGAATTGAAAAGACTAAGGCTTCAATCAAGGGCACCTTAGTCTTTAAAATGACATCTGTGCTCTTTAGCATTTTGGAGAGGTCTTGGACAGCAGATTTTCCCACTGCAATGTATCTTCTGAATTCTTAACTTCTGGTACCAAAGGGTGGTGAATCCAAACAAGCTGAAACTGTGGACAACTTCAACCTTTTCTCCCTCTATCATGATACTGCCTACTGGCTCACAATCTTTGTTTTCTTGATGTTAGGATGTAATTCATAATGAAGACTAGTCTTTGATCTTCTGTAGCAAGTGTTTCAAGTCCTCTTTGCTTTTAGCAAACAAGGTTGAGTCATGTGCATAATGCAGGTTAAGTCTTCCTCTGATCCTGATGCCTGGTTCCTCTTTACAGAGTCCAGCTCCTCAAATTATTTGTTCAGCAAATATAGACTAAACATGTTTGAAAAAAGAATTCAACCCTGCCATACACATTTATTTTAAACTATGCAGTGTTTTCTTGCTTTGCCACTAAAAACCCACTGGAGGGTCAGCTGTAAGTCAGTTCCAAGCTGATGATGCATAACAACAGTAACTGTGAGAAAGGCACTAATTTAATTGTTTTCTACTTGGTTTTTTTTTCTGTTGTTTTTACTGTCAGGTTGTAAATGACCTATAGCTAACCCTCTGGCAGGTTTTCACAGGCAGTTAATCACACGGAAGGAGAGTGCTAATCCTGCTCCCACGGAGTGGCTGGTGGCCTAGAACCGCATACCTGCGAGATTGCAGCACACATAGTGCTTAATTTAATCCACATAAAAACCTTTTATGGAAATGCTACCACCTCATTTTACAGACAAGTCTGAAACAGAGAGGTTCATTTACTTATAGTCACAAAGTAAAAGGTTTAAATAGATTTAAATAGATTGACTTCAGAAACATGCCTTTTGTATGCCACTGCAGCACATGCCCTAAGACTCACTTCCATCAAATCAATTCCAATTCACAGGGATTCTTCTTCAGGTTTTGAGGTTACAAATCTTTATAGGAAGAGATTGTCCACCCTTTTCCTGAAGAGCAACTGCTGGACTCAAACTCTTGAGGTTAAAAAGCACAACATATATAGTACTACACTGCCTGAGATGTTCAAAGAAAAGAAGTAGGGGGAAATGGGTGTATCTTGCCAAAGTATTGAAAAGCTTGACTTTCTTTTCTGTAGGTGTTTAAAAAATTTTTCAAATGCAACATGTTATGTCTTACTTTTCTTCTTCACATATGGGCAAACTACCAATACCTTGACCTGCACTATTCTATGTGGTAGCTACTATCCATGTGACAAATTATTAACTGATTAAAATGAAATCAAAGCTAATTCATACTATCAGTCATACTAATTATATTTCAAGTCTTTGAGAACTGTCTGAAGTACCACAGGTGGGTGGTTGTTATTACTACATACTATTGAGTTAGAACCAACTCATAGCTGACCCTCCAGCAGGTTTTCAGAAGCAGTAAACTGCATGAGGAGACTGCCCATCTTTCAGCAGCTGGTAGTTTTGAACTGTATTGCCTTTGGGTAGGGAGTGCAACTCCTTACCACTAGGCCATCAAAACTAGAGAACTGGATGACCTGGATACAGAACACTTAAATCATCAGTGAAAGTTCTACTGAATGGTACTGCGTTAGAAATTGGTTTTCTTCCTTTTTAAAGAGAATAGGCTAGGGAGCTCTGGTGGTCTAGTGGCAAGAAGCTGCACTGCAATGCTGAAGGTGCACGCTTTGAATCCACCAGATGCTCTGCGGCAGAAAGAGGAGCAATCTCCTCCTGTGCTAGTTGGATTTGATTCAACAGTACACAACAACAACCATAACAAAGGCAAGAAGCTGCACTACAATCCTAAAGAGAGCAGGGCCTGTGCAATCTCCGATCTTGCCATATACTCCTCATAAAAAGAGGCTAGTCAGTGACCCTAGATGGTCTCATTTCTCACTGTCACTGTGGTGTTAAGCAAGGGTGAACTATCTAAGCAATATAAGCACAGACTCACTTTTGCTTATTTACTAATTTGTAATGAACAATTCATGTTTTTCTCCTCAAACGTGAAAATGTTCACGACAGATTTGTAAGTAAGCACAAGTAAGTTTAAGCTTACCTTCGTCATTGGGTAATCTGGCATTGATGTCAATGCCAAGACAGGGAAAAGATAAATTAATAAGAGCAGAAAGAATGAACAGCAAAAAGTGAAGAACCTTGTGCAGCCAGGAAATGAAGTCTGATGGATTCAGGACACAATTTTTCTGCTAATGTGTTTTGTTTTGTTTTTTACTTGATACTAAACAAGGACTTCTCTAATATTCTTCCAAGCTCTGCAAACATACAGCAGAAATAAGGTGGAGAATTAAAGAGCACAATCATTGCACACTGATGATGGAAAATGGCATTCCTTCCAGCTGCCACAGTTCCACTTCTGAGTATAGGATTTGGATACGACCAAGGAAAACAAATTTAATTCAATACTCATTGAGTAATTATTAGAAACAAACTGTGGTATGTGGAAGAAGAGCAAAAACACCAAACGATTAGTCCTAAATTAAGACTAATGGAAGGAATACAAGACTAACAAAACCCGAGACTGGAATACTGGCTCATTAATAAATAAAAGCCTAACTGAATTAGAACTAAGAAACATGTAAGTATCCGAAAATCTTAAGAAAATAATTCTATTAAAATCATACATAAATTACACACAGACACAAAACAAACGCATTGCTGTGCGGTCCATTCGGATTCCTAGCAACCCTCTAAGAACAGAGTAGAACTGCCCCACACGGTTTCCATAGCTGTAATTTTACAAGAATACTGCCACGGCTTTCTCCTGCAGATCTGAATGCCTGACCACTGAGTGAAGCCTTAAGTGCTTTAATCATCGCACCATCAAGACTCCAAATCCAGGCATTTCTTTCACTAAAAAAAAAAAAATTAAAAAATAAACGCTACAGGGTAACTCCAGAATAAGACGACACGCGTTTTGGCCAATCGACTTTCTCTAGAACCCACATTTCATTAAGCAGTCATACATATTGTGGGCTAAATATCCCTATATTTAATAAAGGTTATTTGAATTAAATACGCTCTCAATTGTTGTACTAGATAGAACAAAATGCAAGCGCACACTTTGCACTTTTCAGCGGTATTATTAGTCCTATTTCCTAGGATCGAAAGAGAAAGAAAACCTTCCCCCTGTCTATTCGAAGGTCTGGAAAAGCCCGTATTCAAAAGTAAATTCTGCGTCAAGATTTTTTTTAAAAGGGGACTAAAGAACGAGTTTAATATTTTATGTACAGGATCTAAAGCAACCAGTAAGTCGTGGAATCTCTAAAAGGTTTCAAACTCACTAAGGGCGGGCAAGGGTGAGTATTAAAGCTTTCCAGCAAGGAAAACCGGGATAAAGATTTTCGTGAGAAGGGAAAGACAGTTTTTTGTTAACATTCCACCTACTAATCCGATGCCTAAGACAGCAAAGCGCGGAAACCATACAGAATTTGAAATCAAACGTCGGTGGAGGCTCTAGGGCTGCGTTAAGGGTGCAGGTAACTGACAGCTCGGCCTCGGAAAGAGAAGCCTCAAGTAGGTCAGACTGTGTCAATTGGTTTGCTCTCCAGTGGCCACCCCAGTGGGCTTCGGGGAATAAACAGGGAGACAGGAGGCACACTGAGGTTTGGCATCCTTCAGTACTGAATGGGCGGGATATAGGAACTGAGAGACCTAGAGACCAAGCTTGGGGCAGTCTGCTCGCTCTCACCTCTTTTAGGGGCCTTGATCACTGGCAAACCCACAGTCCTCTCGCCGTTTTCTTGCTTGTCCTTGTGCTTGAGATCGCCTGGAAGAATGCAGGCACTAGGGTCACCCTCGGGGCCGCGGTGGTGATGGTGCTTGTGCCGCTCCTTGTGGCCCTTATGCTTGGGCCCAGACGCGCTCACCGTCAGGGGCGAGAAGGTGAAGAGGGCCGAGGTGCCCGGGGCCGGGAGCGAGGCAGCGACAGTGGGCCCGGCGGGTGCCAGCGAAGGAGGCGGCGGAGGTGGCAGGAGCAAAGGCTCAACAGGGCCTGGAACGGCTGAAGCTGCATTCGCCGGCGGCAGAGGCCCGGGATGTTGGCGGCTGCGACGCCGCCGATGAGGGGGAGCAAGAGGGGGGTCTTGGCTCGGCCGCCCCCGCTTCTCCTGAGACCCTCCACTGCTCGCTCGGCGCTGCCGCTTCACGCCCCGCGGCGAGGCCCCAGCATGGGGTTTCTCCTTCCCCTCTTTGTCCGGCTCCTCCGGCGCCGCCACCGCCCGTACTACGCGAACAGATCCGACCTGCGCAGCCATTTCACCCACAAACACACATTTAAATGGCCCGACCGCCCCCCCGTCCGCGAATCGCGCAAGCGCCGCCCGCGCACGGCCCGCTGGGCATTGGAGTCTCTCTCCCTCCCTCCACTCTGCCGACAGTATCGGGGTTGAGCTGAACATGCCGGAAGCTGCTGTTCGCAGCGCAGCTCCGCAGGCCTCTCCGACCGAGCTTCTATTGTAAAGCACGCTGGGCTGCGCAAAGCCTCATGGGAGCGGTAGTTCCCCCGCGCCCCGCGCGGCGTCGCTGGCTCGATGAGTGGAGGATCGGAAAGCGAGCGTGCGCCGAGTCACGCTTCAGGCAGCGACGCAACTGCCGCTGGGCGGCGAGTTGCCGCCAACCGCCTTAACGGCCGAAACAATATTAATGGCTTTCGGACTCGGTCGGCGCGTTCCCATTATCATCTTCTTGCGCCCCTTCGTCCTTTTACGTGGAGTAGGTGGTCTCCATAGTTACTTGTGAATTTCGTGTTTTTCTAACCTTTGTGAGGCAAAAGAATTTCCATCGTAGACTAACGATGAAATAAAAGGGTAGCAGGAATTCAGGGTAGTTTTGCTTGAAAATGCCATAGGGTTGCAATTCAGAAATTCATGAAGATATCTGAAGCATCTTCACTGACAGTCCTGTGGTTACACCAGAAGTGCAGCAAGGCAGGTGCGAGAACTGCCTGGGAGCGTAGAGCATGGCCCCACTTCGCAATTGAGTCCCATCTTTTTTTTTTTTTTGTAACTTTTTTTTATTTTAGTAATTTTAATGGACATTTACAGAGATTTTAGATTTCCATTCATTCTTTGCTGCACTTCCCTCCCCGCCCAGTCCTCCCCCCCCATCTTTATAATGCCTATCAGTAGAGACTAACATTTATTTTAATACATCTCTACAGTTAAAACGACTTCTAGGTGAAAATGCATGAATTTTTAAAATGCATTTTAATAAGGCATTTTCCGATTTCCAATACAAGATTGCGTAATATCTGCACTAGAGAACACTACAGAAATTGTCATAATCCACAAGGGACAGCTGCTGCTCAGAGGTTTACAACTTGATTGTCACTTCAGACTTTACTGAACGTTATTTTAATATATTTAGCCCTTCCTAGAGGAAGGTAGAAATACTTGAGTCAGCATGCATCAGGATGGATGGTGAAGAGATTGAGATTGTACACAGCTTTAGTTTGCTTGGCTCCATAATCAACAGTCTTGGCACCAGCAGCCAGGAAATTAAAAGGCGCCTTGCCATGGGAAAGTCAGCTGTTAGGGACCTCTCCAAAGTACTGAAGAGCAATGGTGTCTCTCTGGAGACTAAGGTGCGTCTGATACAGGCCATGGTCTTCGCAATCACTAGTTATGCATCAGAGAGTTGGACAATGACCAAGGAGGATAGAAGGAGAATTAATGCCTTTGAGCTGTGGTGCTGGAGAAGAGTATTGAGAATACCGTGGACTGCTAGGAAAACAGATTTGTCCTGGAAAGGGTTAAACCGGGTGGCTCCTTGGAGGCAAGGATTCTGAGGCTCCGTCTAACATACTTTGGACATGTTGTGAGGAGAGACTGGTCCTTGGAGAACAACATCATGCTTGGGAGGGTGGAGGGACGGCGCAGGAGGGGAAGGCCCTCTATGAGGTGAATTGATTGATTCAGTGACTGGGATAATCGGGATGGGAGTGTCAGAGACAGTACGATTGGCACAGGACAGAGCAGAGTTTAGGGCTGTTGTACATCGGGTTGCTATGAGTTGCAAGCGACTCGACGGCACATAACAACAACAACAATGCCTGGAGAAAAGATTACTTCACCTAATTGAATACTAGTCCAAAAAAGTTAACTTTGAAAATTTTTTGAATACTTATTGTTTACACTGTGCTACAATAGATATGTTAATGTTTCGTTTAATTCTTCCTATCAATTAAGATACCTGTCAATTAAGATGCCTAATGAAAACTATTGCAGAGCAAATTATTCCTAAAAGTTATATTTTATTTAAAAATGTGGATAATTGTCAGATCATTAAAGGAAGTCAGATAGATTCTTTGTAATAATAATTACCAAATTTGTCTATTATGTAAAATTGTTTGACCTGTAATTTCATTAAGTCAGGATCTCTATTTATTTAGGAATTTTTTTCATAAAACTAACAGTTCCTTGGTTGGTTTTTAAAGTTGTGCATTTTATAGAACTTTTCCAATGAAAAAACTATCAAAAAATAACTTTTGTTGTTGGTTATGCATCAATAATTAGAAATTGGATTATAAAAATATTACTATCATATTGACACATTTTATTCTCCTAAACAGAAGTCCAAATTTAATGGTTCATACAGCTAGGTGAAATGGGGGGGGGGGCTCAAGCGCACCACAGATGTTTCAGAAGAAAGGCCTAGCAATCTACTTCTGAAATACGAGGCACTCAAAACCCTGTGGAGACACTTCTACCCTGACACAGGTGAGATTGCCATGAGTTGAAGTCAATGGGACAGCAATTACTACTGATGCTGGTATTTCCTTAACTATAATTTTTTTTTCTTATTCCTCTTGTTTCCTAAACATCTGAAAATTATGCACAAAGTATACTTCATTTAGGCAAAAATAACTCCCACAGGGAAAATTCATTGTCACACCAGCAATTTCACACTGCAATCACAAGGTAGAACTTTTTTAAAAAGCACTTAGGATAACTTCTGACAATGTAGAAATACTTGCAATCCAACTCTTAAAAATCTTCTAAAATATACTCATGTAGAAAAGTAAAATGGAAAAAGATTTTTTTTATTATTATGTGTGTGTGTGTGTGTGTGTGTGTGTGTGTGTGTGTGTACCATCAAATCAGATCTGACTGGTACAGGAGGAGATTGTCCCTCCTTTCCCGGCAGAGCATCTGGTGGATTTGAACCGTATGCCTCTGGGATTGCAGTGCAGCTTCTTGCCACTAAGCCACTAGAGCTCCCCGAAAAATATTTTTTAGAAAAATTAATTTATTCTAAATGAATGTTTTTCATATAGCGTTCTCTTCATGACCACAACTAAAACTTTCTTATGCTGTTTCCAGCCCAAGGTAAATTAGATGAAAATGCAAAATTTTTGGCAGTGTTTTGCTTATTGCTTTTCTTTTAAAATCTATTCAACATATCAGCATATATTCTGCTCTTTGGAGGCAAGGATTCTGAGTCTTCATCTGACATACTTTGGACATGTTGTAAGGAGGGACTAGTCCTTAGAGAGGGATGTCATGCTTGGGATGGAGGAGGGACAGTGTAAGAGAGGAAGACCCTCAATAAGATGGATTGATTGAGTGACTGGGGTAATGGGGACAGGTGTGTCAGTGACAGCAAGGTTGGCACAGGATAGAGCAGGGTTTAAGGGCTGTTGTACATAGAGACGCTATGAGTTGTAGTAACAACAACGTAGTAACATAGAGCTCACTTATTTTACTCAACACTATCCTGAAAATTTTACTTGCAGATGCATTCACACACTTCCTGCTGTAGGATTCCGTCAAGTCGATTCCAACTAATAGCAACCCCTTGTGACAGGGTAGAACTGGTTCATAGCATTTTCTTGGAACAGAAACAGTTCACCAGGTCTGTCTACTTCAGAAGCACTGAGTGGTTTCAAGCTGCTAGCCTTTGGGTTAACAGCCAAGCACTAAGCTTTGCCTAAACCCAAAATTGAATTAAATTTTCCAAGTTGCTGGTGGTTTTCTTGGTCCTTTGGGTTTTGAAAAACGATTTGCAAAACCTAGGAATAAAAATAAAATTTCATAGAAAGTACATTTTTATATAAAATGAATTCTTAAATATTTTATAATATATATTTTACATGGAATTATCCAAAAGATTTGATAACACCTCTGATAGATTTAATAATAAAATATAATGACATTATATGACTATGAGTCATATACAACTTGAAGGCAATCAACAACAGCAAGAAAAGCATTATATGAATTAAATCCTAAATTATAACAATAGAGTATTAATACCATTTTCAATTTATAGAGCACTTTTAAATGTCATAATGGTAGTAATTGGATGAAGGAATCAAAAGCCTTGTATAATTCAGTATATAATATCCTTTATGTATTGTCACTCTTACTCATCTATTGAGAAAACCAAAACAAGGAATCTCATTTTCAGAAAGAGTGCTATTACTTCACATTAAAAAATTATAATATTAAATCCACTTATCCCATACTCTGACTCATAAAGTCTTAATCGATTAAAGTAATTTGTTAGGAAAACTTTGAAAAAAGAAAACAATACTGAAAGAAACCAATAGCTAAATGATTTCTATTTTTCTCTCTCCCTCTATATCCCTCTTTCCCAAAAGAAGAAGAAAATCTTTTTACAAGTTAAGAAAGCAGGTTAATTGCAGTGATTCCATTTCACTTCAGCAGCATTTGACTTATCTTTGATGAAGATTTCCTTTCAAGGTACCCCTTTTACACTTAGCAATCTTACACATTACTGTCAAGTCAATTCTGACTCATAGCAACCTTCTAGGCAGAGTAGAACTGCCCCAGAGGATTCCCAAGGCTATAAATCTTTATAGAAACAAACTGTTCTATCTTTCCCCCTCAGAGAGACAGGTAGAATTTGAACTGCTGATTCTTTAGCCAAGCACTTAACCATGTTACTACCAAGGCTATTTACAGTCTCTGGAACTCAAATAGAGCATAGAAAGGTATGAAACACAGAGAACAGAGAATGGAAAACAGATATTCCTAAATCATTCTCACATTTTGCCAAATATGGATATTATTTGTCTTAGCAGAACTGATTTAATAATAAAATTCTTTTTAAAAAGCCTATATCTAGCACAATGCTTGAATGTTGTTTAAATCTGAATCTACAAAGAATATTGAAAGAAAAGAAAAGATAAAGAAACCCCCTACAATTAAAAAAAAAGAAAGAAATCCCTACAATGGTGATGGTAAATTATTTGGGGGATTAGACAGTAGAGGATTTGAGTACCACCTAGTTCATGTAGAATTTTTCCCTCCAAGTGGTGAGAAAAAAGGAAAAATATTTTAAGTTAAAATTTTTCTTGTTTCTTACACAACTTAGATATAAACATACCTATAATTTCACATGCAAGCAAGATTTTACTGAAGTTTATCCAAAAACGACTGGAACAGCACATCAACAGAGAACTACCAGAAGTCCAGGCTGGTTTCAGAAGGGGTTGTGGTACTAGAGATATTGTAGCTGATGTTAGATGGATCTTGACTGAAAGCAGGGAATACCAGAGGAATGTCTATCTGTGTTTCATTGACTATGCAAAGGCATTTGACTGTGTAGATCATAACAAACTGTGGCTGACTCTGAGAAGAATGGGAATCCCAGAACACTTGATTGTTCTAATGCGAAACTTATACTTGGACCAGGAGGCAGTCGTCAGAACAGAGCAAGGGAACACTGCATGGTTCAAAATTGGGAAGGGCGTACGCCAGGGATGCATCCTATCTCCATACCTGTTCAACCTATATGCAGAACAGATTATCCGGGAGGTGGGGCTCTATGAGGAGAAATGTGGGGTCAAGATTGGTGGACGATTTATCAACAATCTGTGTTATGCGGATGACACAACCCTGCTTGCTGAAACTGAGGAGCACCTGAAGCACCTGCTGCAGAGTGTCAAGGACTGCAGCCTCCAATATGGATTGAGGCTCAATGTCAAGAAGACAAAGATTTTCACCACTGGACCAATTGGCAGCATCAGCATGGATGGTGAAGAGATTGTGCACAGCTTTAGTTTGCTTGGCTCCACAGTCAACACTCTTGGCACCAGCAGCCAGGAAATTAAAAGGCGCATTGCCATGGGAAAGTCTGCTGTTAGGGACCTCTCCAAAGTGCTGAAGAGCAATGGTATCTCTTTGGAGACTAAGGTGCGTCTGATACAGGCCCTGGTCTTCGCAATCACCTGTTATGCATCAGAGAGTTGGACAATGACTACAGAGGAAAGAAGGAGAATTGATGCCTTTGAGCTGTGGTGCTGGAGAAGAGTATTGAGAATACCATGAACTGCTAAGAAAACAGATTTGTCCTGGAAAGGGTTAAACCGGGTGGCTCCTTGGAGGCAAGGATTCTGAGGCTCCGTCTAACATACTTTGGACATGTTGTGAGGAGAGACTGGTCCTTGGAGAGGGACATCATGCTTGGGAGGGTGGAGGGACAGCGCAGGAGAGGAAGGCCCTCTATGAGGTGGATTGATTCAGTGACTGGGATAATTGTGTTGGGAGTGTCAGAGACAGTGCGATTGGCACAGGACAGAGCGGAGTTTAGGGCTGTTGTACATAGGGTCGCTATGAGTCGCAGGCGACTCGACGGCACATAACAACAACAACAACAACGTAATTTCAAAGCGTATACATTGTTGTGGCTTGGTGCCATTGAGTCGAGTACAACTCAGAAACGCTATGAACAATCAATCTGATCCTTGTCCTATCCTGCACCATCATCATCTCCGACATACTTGAGCACATTGCTGCAGTCCCTTTTATCAATCCACCTGGTTGAAAAAGTCTTCCTCTCCTTTGCTGACCCTCTACCTTTCCAAGAATGATGTCCGTCCCCAAGGAATAGACTCTCTTAACAACATACTCATAACAAGAAGTATGTGAGATGAAGCTTTGTCATCTTTGCCTCCAAGGAGCACTCTGGCTGCACTTTCTCCAAGATATATCTGTTTGTTCTTTTGGCAGTCAGTGGGATATTTATTCCCCTTCTCCAACACCACAGCTCAGAGGCATCAATTCTTCTTCTGTCATCCTTATTTACTGTCCAGCTCTCAGATGTATAACAAGTGACTGAAAAGACCATGGCCTAAATCAGGTGCAACTTGGGTGATATTGCCACTTCTAGGTCACTCTGGTGGCCTAGTGATAAAGAGTTGCCCTGCCAATATAGTTTGAATCCACTAACTACTCCACAAGAAAAATATAGGCAGTGGGTGATTTACAGTTTCTGAAAACCTGCTGAAGCTTAGGTCTGAGTTGGTTCTGACTCAATGGCACACAACAGCAATAGGACTCTGTCCCACTTCTCTACAGTTTTCTTCATCTTCTTGTCAGCTACACACTGAGTGTGGAAGCAGGTTGATTTTTAGTATAAATGGAAACAATACCATTAAAGCAGCATTATACAAGGTATGGTCCAGGAACTCCAAAGGGACCCTCAGAGGGAGGCTCTTCTTTAACTAATAATATATTTTAGTGCTAATTGCTACATTAATTGCTATACTTCATCTAAAGTATGTAGTACTACTTTATAGGGTATCAAGATTATGTATCAGAATAATAGGAAATAGGAATATATAAAAATGTTATTTTATATTAATAGTTTATATTTAGGGATAACAATATGAGTGATTTCTTCTGTCTGTCAGAATGGTGCTTCATCTTCTGTGGAATGAGTTATACTAGATTAGGAATAGCTCCTATATTCTTATCATACTTTTGCTTTTTATAATTTTGCTTTAACTATATGCTAGAGCATAAGCATCCTAGAATTTTTTTCATTTGGATCTTCATGTACATCTGCTATATGCAAACACAATAGTTTGGTGATTGTTATTGTTAGTTGTAATCAGGTTTGCACTAACCAATATGGGTCTTATGTGCAGCAGAATGGTACATTGCCTGGTCCTGGATAATCTTCGTTGTCTTTGATATGCTGATATGGGATCATAGTTACGGCTTACTGTGTCATTCCCTCTTACTGAGGGCCTCTTCATTTTTATTTTTGCTGACCTTCTACTTTGCCAAACTTGCTTTTTTTTGGCAATCTATCCAAAGTAAGAAAGATGAAGTTTCACCATACTCACTTCTTATTGGTTGTTGGTACGTGCTATCAAGTCGAGTATGATTCATAGTAACACTATGATCTGAACTCTGTCCTATCCTGTGCTGTCCTCACACTTCCTGACAAATGAGAGCCTGTTGCAGAAGTCACTATGTCAGTCCACCTAGTTGAGGGTCCTCCTCTCCTTAACCACCCCTCCACCTTTCCAAGCACGATGTCCATCTCCAAGGAATAGCCCCTCCTAGCAACATGCCTGAAGTATGTGAGACAAAGTTTCACCATCCTGGCCTCCAGGGAGCGCTCTACTTCTCAGTAGCATTTGGGGTTTTTTGGTTATTATTGTTGTTGTTTAATTTCTTTTTATTTTATATTGGTTTGCATACAAAATTTGTATATATTGTGTTTCACACATTCCTTTATTCACATTGTTTTTCATATGATTATTCCCATACATTGTGTTTTAGAAAGTGAATCACCATTGATCTATGCCTGCTATTACCCCATCTTTTCAGATCCCCACTAGATCTTTCCTATTCCTTCCCCTCTTACCTCTACCTACCAAACTCTGTGACGCCATGATTTCTGCCTTACCCCTCTGCCCCCCGCCGCTCCCCTTCTCCCCATTCTTCTTCTCTCTTTGGACTTTTATACTTATCTACTAGTTACCTTTCTGTTTTTACAATAATGGTCTTATGCAGTATCTGTCCTTATGAAACTGAGTTGTTTCAGCATAATGCTCTCCAGTCTCTCTCCTGTTATGCAGTAATTTTTTAAAAATCCTTGCTCTGAAGTGCCACATAATATTCCATTATGTACATGTGCCACAATTTCTCAGTCTGTTCGTTTGCTGATGGTCATTTGGGCTCTTTCCATTTTCTTGCTCTTGTGAATAATGCTGCTATGAAAATTGGTGTGCAAATCTACTTTGTATCTCAG